GCTGCAGTGCTATGTGCAACACTGCTGTTTAAGGTTTCATTTTTATCCACATTTGGAGTTGTATTTTGTTTGTGGCATAAAGGCAACAGAACATTTTCTGCCATTACTATTGTTAGCAGTGCTTTAATCATGATACTTTGAAACTTAAACCTGACTGAGCAGTTCAGAAAAGGTCACCCTCAGAAATCTTATGGAAAGTTGGCAGCTGTGCAGCCCTTTACATGCATTTATGCAGGGCACAGAATGTTTTAAATTGAGTTAGAAGCACATCATTCAACCTTCACTCAACAAGGCTGGAGAAGAGCAAGTGATCTCCACCTGATAGCATTAGCTAATTACAGTGAATTTCCCAGTGCCTTTGAGAAGAGGTAGCACCAACTTCAGTGCTCTGCATCAGGCAGCATACAGGGGGAAGAGGAAACACCATTATTTCACTATCCATTTTTTTTTTTTTCCCTGTGTGACTGGCTTTGGGGCAACCACATGATACAAAGCTGATCAATCTTTTAGTATCTTTGAAACCAGTTATCATAACACTTCTGCCTAATTTTTGTGGCAACTTAAGTCTTACCTGTGATCTCCCCAATCACTACCCAAGATCAACTACAGAAACACCTGACTAAAAAAGCAGCAGGGACTTTACAAGGAACTCTGCTCTAAAATACTTCCATCACACCAATACAGTGTTTTTGCTACCAAGGCCTTGTTTGTTTTTATTAAAATGCCAAGAAGAGAGCTCGGTCATCAGTATTCAAGAATTACAGACCACTGAAGGGAAGCTGGGCTAGGTGTTGGGAAGATCTCTCATCATTTCTTTCTTGTCTCCTGCCCTTGGTCCAGTTTTGGTCACTTCTGCCACATGCCACATATTGGACAAATGAGAAGCATGAAGAAATCGCTTTTTTTTTTTACAAAATTTATTTTTTGCTCTGTAGATACAAATCCCAAACATCAACAAACAAATTCCAGTGGAAAAATACCAGTCATTAACAATGAAAACTTTAATTATTATTTAATAAATAGAACTTTGGCATTCAAAATTCTAGCTGTAAACCCTACTTCAAAAAAATTACAAAAAGAGGCAAGAACAACAAGCCTAAAGCTGAGCCAGCCAGTGGCTCCTTCACTTTTTACAATGAACACATTGTGGTTAAGGCATGACAACTCTTTTTACA